GCAAAGTGTTTGTTAAAACCTAATTATTTGAGAAAGAGACCCTGGCAGTGTGCTCTCGGTGGGTGGAGGACTGTTTTCCCCTCTGCATTCCAATTATATTATGGTCAGTGTGACCTCATATATCTAATTAACTTGGTATGTCTTTGTGTCTTTGGTTCATGATTTCACAGAGATGTCCTGAATGAAATTCCTGGGGTTTTTTTTTTTTGAGCTCTTGCTCCTTAACTTATTAAAGCAGTTGGTTTCTCACCAGCATTGTTATCCCACTGAATGCAGGAGATGTTTACTGGGGCTGGGAATGGGTCATGGATGGAATTCAAATGCCTGTATTAAAGCAGGATTATTTCCACTAGCAACTGTACCTCCTGAAGTCATTTTTCTTGAAGGCATATCTCTGCAATTATCATGGAAATCAAGGAGAACTCTGAAGGAGGGAGCCCGGAAAGTATGGAACTGCCAGGCAGTGTAAACAACAGTTCCATTTCAATGAGCTTTTCAGTAGCATCTTCATGTTTCAAAATCTGACATTATCTGCCTTTGCATTATTTATTGACTTTGCAAGTACTTTTTACAAGGTCTGCAACATCACAGGGGGAAAAAATGAGAAATTCTGTATTCAAACCATGACTTTCCTGCGAAATTTTGGTTTGTTTTTTTTTTTTGTGAGGAGTTTGATTTTTCCCTCATCATCCTGCACCAGTGGCCCCAGCAGGAATTTGTTATAACTGAGAAGCACAATTGGTATCACAGAACCACAATTAGAATCAATTCCATGGGCCCAGTTCTGCCTCTTGCTGAAAGATTCTGCGTTGTGTCAGTTGCTACTGAAATGACATTTCTTTCAGGTGAGGGTATCTATTAAAAAGAATTTTTGAGGGAGAGGTGTGACATAGCATGGCCCAAGTGGAGGTGGTCCCTCCCTTCTTGGAAGGGCAGGAAAACCATCCGACAGGTGCCATTCTCTGTAAAACATATTAACAGAAAACAGTAGTTTTTAAGCTCTAAGAACTGCAGAATTCTTACAGCATAACCAGTCACACATGATGAAGGCTTAATGTGGGCACATAATGTTGACTGGTACCTACAAATAGATTCATGTGTTCTGCTTTGATCATTAGAGAATTTTGGCAAATCTGGGTGAACATAGTGTTTAAGTTTCTGGTGAGCTTTGAAAACTGACTTTAAATGGTGCTTTTACTGCTCTTCTTGGAAGTAGCAAGTCCTGTGCCTTCAGTAAGACTTTTTTTATATGAAGAATTACAAGAATGTGCCAAACCAATGTGTGCAAAGTATGAAAAAGCAGAAGGGTTGTTTTACATTTGAAGGGCAGATGTGACCATGCTTTCTATTAAACCAGCATGGCAAGGCTCAGGAAGTGAACCTTTGCCAGCACATTTAGTTCCCTGAAAGTTAGCTTTTCCAAAGCAAAACATCCCTTGCATGGCAACCTGTCAAGATACTTTTTCTTTCTTTGCAGCCTGTGCACACACACATGCAAGTTTGTCTTGAGTTTGATAACAGCATGCTGAAGCCCCAAATACCTCATGGTTGTTTCACAAAGAAGCCACTTGAGGTAGAAACATCCGTTTTGTCATTTTACCCTTTCTCTGAGCAGTAGGAGGAGGTTGAAACTTCCAACAGATTTTTGATTGTCAGCAGTTACAGTTGGTTTTGTGCAACTGCAGTGAAGTGAGAAAACTTGACTTCAAAACATGCAGAGCCTTTCTCATTTATGTTTTCAAGTGTGGAAGAAAATGTGTTTCCTATCACGGAGCTGCTGTTGGGACACTGACTCAGGGCTCACAGAGCCTCTTGAGTGAATCACCAGTTTTGATACAAGGCTTAAATCTAACCTTGTTTGTGCTGCAAGAGTAAATGAGATCACACTGTGAAGAAGGATTCCAAAATTAACAACTATATTGCATTTTGTGAGAATCTGCATGCATTATCTTCTGCTCAGGAATGAATTTGAGGGCTTGAATAGATGAACAGGCTCTGTAATGAGATGGGAATGCATTATTTTGAATGGATTTGGATTGACTTAGACAGGTTTGGGGTTAATTACGTTTGAGACACTTTGGCTGTGACTAATAAGAAAATTACATGTAATCTAAACTTTCAAGACCTGGAAATGTGCACTGTTGTGCCTGAGCACTCAGGCTGCTCCTGCTGTGTCTCTGCCTGCCTGAAAACAAGGTTTGCAGGACATAAAACACCAGTAGGCAACTGGATGGGAGCTGCTCTGTAGTGTTGGAAGGAACATTTTATCGTGCTCCATCAAGTCTGTCTTAATCTGTTTCATAGGAATGTGTTCTGCAAGAATATTGTGGTGCTTTCTGTAGTGCCTGGTCTTAGTTTCTGTCTTTGTTCTTGTCAAATGCATTCAACTTTGAAGTGCTAGGTCACTGTATTGTTTTAGATGCATTTAAACATCTAAATTAGGTTATAAAATCTAATTATAGACTCTTATCATAACCAACAAGTTGGACTGTGTATGAATGTGCCTGTAAGTGTTGGGAGGAGTTGGGTAATGATAACAGTTTTATTGCTCTGTGGAGCTATAGCCATTTATTCTGTGTCAGGCAGAAGCATCTGAGATGCTGTTGGTCAAAATGTTAACTGTTTTGGTTTGATGACATTGGCTGTATCCTACAGATCCTTTAGGAATATCCTTTCATCCTGCTGGTATTTCTCCCTGTCCCTTGTGTTCTTCCTTGTACCATTTGAGTAGAGGAGGATAGGGAAGTTGTGATGTTCTCTGTGGTCAGCTCATTTGCCCTCCAGGCAGTTTGGCTTTGCCTTTACACCTGCCTCTTCTCAGACTTCTGGATATAACTAATTTTTTTCAGGGCTAAGCTAAAACTGCTGTTAAGTGCATCCTGCTGGGATACTTTTTAATCTCCCATTCCAATTCACCTTTGTTTCACACACCTCTAGTTTTCCTTACAAAATAGATGCAAAATGTTGTGTCCCAAAGTCCTTCTGTTCCTCGTTGCTACTTTCCTCACTAGTTGTTGCCCTCAGTGTCCCAAACTACTGCTGACATGGCTCAAATACTACCTCAAACTCCTTGTCTCAGGGGTTTTTATTCCTCTCTTAAGCCATTACAGGCATCCGAACCCCTTCACAACTGATAATTCCTCATCTCCAAGGCTGAGTTTTCTCCTTCACTCTGGGCTGGG